TAATTTTTTAATATATAATCTGGAAAATCCATACTTATGTTACATGGAGTTATTGAAATTATTTCAGTAAATGCGTCCGAAACGTCATTAGGGTCCAAATATGGTAAACCGAAAAAATATTTAAGCCACCTTCCTACTTCAGAATCATTTGAGTATTCTTTAAATACATTTTTATTTTTCTGCAAATGTCTGAACCAACTTTGTTCTAAATGGAATTTACAGCAAACTATTTTACACTGCGGAAAACTCTGAAGAACAGCATTGTGTGCAGCTTTTTAAAAATTTGCTTGAAATATTTTTACACTTAAGTTTTTTCCTAATAACTGCATTGACAAGTTCATCATGGTTTTCCACATGGACACATATGTCGATGCATGTTTATTTTTTAAAAAACAGTATACTACTGATAAATAATAATAATTTCTATAAGCATGAATTGTATGAAATTTTTTGGCACATAAGTAAAAGTTCCATCACCAAACACGTGTTCATTATTAGAAAGCATTGCCAAGCTATTTTTACAAGTAAATAAAATAATAAAATTATCATCGCTTGAAACATAAAATTGATTACCTTTATACAACAACGTTTGTTTCATTTCTAAAAGTTGCTTTAAAGACTCGTCATAGTTTGATGGTAGTGTGGGAAAATTTTTTTTCATACATCATATATTGAACGACGTATCAGCTTCAAATCACCATGTTCCATGTTCTCAGCAACGTTACTATTTTTTAACTCTTGATGTATTAATTTGTTTGGACGAGTATGTAGATCATTGTTTACCTTTCTTTTCAATGAGCCCCTTACAATTTCTCTAGATATAATTTGATCTCAATATACCTCATGGTTATGCTTTGAACTTTTAGATTGGTCAACAATTTGGTCACTGTTATTGCTTAAAATTACACTAGCATTACAAAGTTTATTAGTACACTGAAAATTGAAATTTCCATTTTTTAATTTCCTATACTCTCGAAATTTAAAATTATTCAACACTATACAACGTTTTACTCTCCGTGTTAAACAAATAGCGTCCATCATTATTTCGCCAAAACCGGAGACTAAACGAAAATTAATAGATTTGTTATAACTTATAAGAAATAATTTAACAAAAATAGTTTTAGATTAGAAATAAAGCAATAAAGATTAAAGCTTATCCCACATGACTTATTTAATTAGTGAGCATAGAAATCGCGATTATAAGATCCCTATTACAGATAGATGACAATTGATGGGAAACCATGATTGAAAATAATCATTATACTTTAAGACACCCTGTATACCCAAAACCGTACCTACAAGCAGGTTACCATTGTTCACAATTTTTTGCGCAAATGAGTCTTAACCACTTATTAAATTGTAATTATTAAACGTTTTATTTGATGAAAGTCACATTGAGTTAATTTATATGTTAACAAATTACATTAATGCTATGATTATTTTACTTCGATTGTCTTCAAAGATCGCGTTACTTTTATATTACATATGTACAGTACGCATGTATTATTCAGTATCCGCTGTATGAATGTGTCACAAGTAGAAGAAAAAAAAAATTGTTATTTCAAAAACATATTATTTTAATGTTTTATTGGTGTCAAGATGATACAATCTGTAGTACGATGGTAAAATTTGTTTTTAATTACACGTCTCATACATCTAAAAAATGTGATGATTGATTTATGTATCATAATAACATACAATTGAATTACTATGATAAAATTATAAATATGTGAAAAATATGTTTGCATGTTATGTAGATTATTGTTTTTAGTGGGTCACTAGAGTAGATTGGTTTTACGTAACAACCGAACTTGAAAATTGTTGTTCGTTTCAATTTATATCTTATCATCACGAGTGGAATGTGATAAACTAGTGTATCAACGTTATTTCAAGTACTATTAATATGGTAATAAATATTATGTTTTGTTTTTTCACGAGTATAAAATATTTATTCAGACAGGCGTTGAATTGTAAATTTTATACAACCAGTTGATTATTTTTAAAACAATTGTTTTGCAACAACAATCATCATTAAACTGTAGACAATTCTTAAATCGATAATATTTCTCTGCGAGCTATCGTCTTGATCGTTATTTGATTTCATTCAGATATTGAGATAAATTAGTATTTGCGTTTTAACTATGCTTCGGGTTCGGACCGGGTGCATAAACTGACTGTTACGCGTACCCAGACAGCGACTGTTCGCTTGTTGCTCCGTACACCATTGACCGACCGAAATGCGAACTGTGCAGCAGTGTGATAGATCAACTATTAGCGAATATTAGTGAGCTACGTGGTGGTACCGCGTATAAACGTGTACATATTTGTAATGTGTACATGTGGTCAGTTTAGGGTGCCACTCAACTATTGTTTTTTCAATTTCTTATTTCATCATATTGATTTATATGTTATTAAATAGTCGTGGTAAAAATATAATTTGGATAATCACATATTTCGTGGTCGTTCACGCGTTTCAAAGTTTTATACTTATATGATTTTTTATTAGTTACTGGCCAGTTACACACCTGTACCTTTATAATTCAATTAAATATGAATAACAATTAATCGTGGCACACATGATACTGAAAAAATACTTATGCAATAACGATCGTGATGATTTGCGTACGTGCCAATAGTTATAATAATAACAATAATAAACAAGTTTCTATTTGAGTTATATAAGCAAAACGAGAATAATAATAAATTATCTGTGGCAATTAGTGCACACACGTAATAATAATACAATAGAACTGTGGTTCGCGCACACAAAATAAGCCAAATAAATCACAAAAACAATATATTTAAAACTACGACGACTGTTCACCACCACGGTTTTAGAACGACAAGAGTTATATAAAATGTGGTGATTAGCTCTCGCAGAATATTTAGTTAACATATTAATATTTTATGTATTCATAATAATATGTGAGTGAATAACTAGTGGAAACCACCAATGTTATTATGGTATAAGTAATTTACTAAAATCTAAATTACTGCCAAGAAAGTTAAAAACTTTGCTAATACAATCTATCCGAGACCAATAATTACATATGAATATGAACCATAGTCTCCAATGAAAGGTGATAACAACAGACTAGAAATATTCGAAAGAAAGGTATTAAGAAACATCTTTAGCCCAGTATATCATAACACAGAGTTAGGAATATTTGAAAGAAGAAAAAATGACGACCAATATAAAATGTATGGAAAACCTAATATTCTAACATATATAAAAATTAAGAGAATGGAATGACTTGAGGACGTGTAGAAAGCTGGTAATGATATCACAAAAAAGTACTAACGAAGAGTATACACAAGAAAATACCAATAGGTAGATCGCGAACGAGATGGAAAGATATAATAGAGAAAGACATCAAAATTTTTGGAAGGTTAGTATCAGTAAATATGACATTGAACAGAGATAAGTGGATATGATTACTTGTGGCAGCTCAGGTCCTACAAGGAACATTAATCTACGAAAGAAGAAGAAGTATTCATAATAATATTTAAGTGCAAGACGAAGATCAGGCATGAAAAAAAAATTGTATAGTAAAAACACTCGTTTTCGGACTGTAGTTTTCACGAGAAAGAAGAAATCACGCACGAATAATTACAATAAACACGCACAGGGGCGGATCTAGAATCGGGGAATTGTAGGTCAAGCCATTTCAAGAGGCCATTTATTTGGGATGAAACTGAATTAGAAACGAATACCTTGTAAAAAAAAAAAAAAGAACACAATATACTCATAAAAGTGTATAAGTATATTGATATTAGATTTTAGAATTAGTGATACCACCGATAATGACTTATTTAGGATTAACAAATATAATCTAATTTTATCAACGCAACAAACTTATGAAATAAAATACGATTTACTTAACTTTCTATGATACTAAAACGATATAATTTAAAACATAAATTATGAATTGAAATATTTCAAATTTTGAATATACATGACATTCATTTTTCAATGAACTCCGATGGGCCAACTGTCCAAGAGTCCAAATCAAGGTCTAAAAAGAGAAAAAAATTTCCTAGAGGTCAATTTTGTCAACAAATATTAACCGTGGGTCAGCTGACACTCTAACCCCCCCCCCAGATCCGCCCCTGAACATGCATATATGAGCCTTTTCGGTTACATAATGCAGAAACACGATTGCAAAAAAAAAAACGATAAACAGATATTACATTTCACTTATAATTATAGTGTGTGTGTGTGTGTGTGTGTGTGTGTGAGAGTATATATGTATGTTAATTGAGCGGCCAGTGGTGCATCGAAATGCCGGTGACTGTAGCGACAACGAGGTGGCCGAAGTTTCCCATTGCCATTACCTTGCTTTGACATATCCATTTTTACAATTCTTCAAAGGAACGTGATAAAAAAAATATTAATAGATAGTAAATAATAAATAAAAAATGAAACAAAAAACAAGAATAAAGTTCGAATACGGTTTTACATGATTTGGTTTGAAAATATATTATTTAGTGTGGGTAAATAATTCTCACACATCAATATATTTAAATAGTTTTATTTGAAATTAACTGAATTTGGTATTCATAAAGTATTCGGCTATTTGTACAACTTCAAGTTATCCGGTATTCAAGATCCTTAAATTATTTATTTAGTTTTTAATACCTACTTGGAGTGTAAATGGCTTGAGGACATACTATATAACTTCTTGAGATTTTCATTGTTTTTAGTTTTGAGTACATCATACATCCTATTGTATTATGTGAATTAATAAAGTTCTTGTTGAAAATTTAATCATGTATCCCGATGAAAAAGATTTATAGGACAATTATTCTTGAGTTAATGCGTGATAACATTATCGATTATTTTATCAATGGAGTTAATATTAGAAAAAACTAACTGTTGATAAACTATGACGGCAACAATATAATAAACTATTATTATATAAAATACTTATAAATTATTCATATTGCAAAGAACTATGTTAGTTTAGTTGTTAATATGGACAATTATTAATTGTTTTCAGATCATATGGTCACAACAACAGTACGAACTCAAAAGATTTAAAAGAGATTTCGCACCGGCAAAAAATGTTACAAAAATTGAAATTACAAAACCAATGTTACGCTTTCCTGATCCATTATTTGCTGATCAGTGGTATTTGGTGAGTTATTGAAAATTCGAATTTAAGATATTAATTTATTCAATAATTATCTTTATGACTATGTGAATACCGTTTTGAACGGATATAAAATAAATTAGAAAAGTTATTTCCCAATTATATATATATATATATATATATATATATATATATATATATTACGAATATATTATTATATTTATTATATAATGGACACAAGTCCCAAAAGTGCAAATATATTTTATGTATATTAAACGAACCATTTATTATTTCTAATTATTTAATAGAACACAAATTATTTATCTTAAGTTCTACGATAATTTTACAATATAATTCACAATACCAATAAAATTTCCTGTCAAGAAATCACACTTCTTTTAACTGATTTGTAAATTATTTTTGGTTTTGTTTTTGATAAACAATACGTTTATATAAACATACGTTTTAATGCTAAAATGTATGTTACTGGTTTGGAAAAAACTAAGACATAATAGAACCAGTTCAATAATTTAAAATATCACTAATATTGTTATACTTTGTTTATTACCACAAATTATTTAATATTTTTGAAGAAAGTCAAAGTTATATGTATAAAACAATTTTCTGTAAGATAATATAAAGACTGTTGATTTTTTTAAGAAATTCACCTTTTGTAACTTAAACTTAAGCACAGTAAATAATCAGCATTTTGTTTTACGTTTTGAATAACGGGCGTGCAGGCAGTTCCTAAGGGAATGCTATACCCGATAAAGAATGTACTGTATTTGAATACTATACTTTGAACCGAATAAATCTAAAATCTATTTCCTAGTTACTATTTTAAAAACTGAATAATGGAATTTATATTTCGTACAATCCAAACATTTTTATAAGGATTTGAATAAATATTATACGCTGTAGATCTCAATTCTGAATTTAACTCATTTAGGACAGTTAAATTCTAAATAGTTTACATAGAAATAATTTGTTTTTTGTTTACGTCAATTAACATCAGCTCATTATAATAGCTATAGAATACTGTAAGAAAATGATTCACCAAATATTAGTGTGGATTATAAACATCATCTAAATATGTCTGCGCTTAAATATGCTATATTTAATAAAAGTACTCAAACCATTAGTATTGGTCAATCGAAGTCAATAAATTAATGCGATTATATTATCAATTATTAACGTTCGATACATCTTAAAATCTAATTATTTATCATATGGTTATATTTTGTTTAAAAAATAAGTATACTCATACGTAGATATATAATTAGTGCATTCCTCGCGCATTCGTTAGAATCTCGGAACAAACAGTATTAACGCATATGCTAAATGCTTTAAAATCTATAACTATCTTAGCCGATGATTTCCGAAGAGCTAATTTTACTCACACCTTTTTAAAATCGTCAATTAATATATTATTTAATTAATATTTTTTAATTAGTTTTAACACTATATATTACATTTTAACTCGAAAATGTACCTAAGATTTTCCGATTAAAAATGAAATCATTAAAACCTTGTGTTTATAATTGAAACAGATGTATCCACGAATGAATAAATAAAATAATGATCGTTTTAAAATGTCAAAAAATATTTGATTGAAACTAGTTACTCCTGAATACCAATAAAATATTTATAATTTTAAATCCTATATATTATTATTAGTTGAATTAATTAAAATATAAATTAAAAAATACAAATTAAAATATAGAATGAATCTATTGTAGAAGTTATCGTGTTAGTATTTAAAATTAGGTTTTTCTAATAAAATCCCATATAATTATTATTACAATTTAGATATGGTTTTTATTCATCTACTTTGTTGGCGTTTATTACAGATAGTATTTATTCTACATTTTTTTTTTTTTTTGTTTACAATGAAATATATTAAACATTTAACTTATACAATGTTGTGAATTATGTTTAAATATTTTATGTATACTTAATATCTTATGATAATTAATTAATTAAAATTTTTTTTATGATAATATAAGTCCCTATTGTGTAACACGTATATCATCGTAATATAGTTTAATATGCCAAATATTATTATTATTTTTTTTTTTATTTATCAAAAAAGTTTATAAAATAGGTACAAGTTACAGACAGAAATTATTATACTAATGTTACTACCTACATAACTTATTTTTAGTATTTATGAATTATTAATACAGAACAGTATACAAATAAAAATAAAAAAAAAATAAAAATGTATAATTCAATTTATAAATCAATGTATTTTCAATTATATACTTAGTACTAAAATATTAATAAAAACTCAAAGTAACATTAACAGTTTCAATTAAATGTTGCATGAAATCATGACGAATACATTTCTACATAGATAAATTGACATTAATTAATTATATATCGACACCGAATATAGCTAATTTGAATACATCGTTATTATTGTTTATTTATTTATATCAAAATCACTCACAGCAAGTATTATGGTCTTAAGTGTTTTAATTATTTTTTTTGTATAAACAATTAGAAGTTTTTCTAATATGTTATGAATAATTAACATATGATTGACTCATTTGATATTTGATCCTAAGCAAAACTCACCTTTCTTTATTGATTATTGTCTGTGTCATTTCATATTAATTTTTATTTTTTATTTTTTAATGCAAAATAATTTTTTCTCGGAAAAATAAAAAATAACTCAAAATTATAATTTTAAATTGTTATACAATCCAAAAACCAATATAGTATACAGATTTTTTTTAACTATAAAGAAATTGAAGAAGTTTTTATACAAAAATAAATAATTTTTAATTTTTAATATATCATTTTTTAATATTTATTTAAAATATTTTGTTCACATCCAAAATCGTAAAACTTAATTCAAATTAAGTATAGATATAACTAAAATAAAATTTCAATTAATTAAATAATGTATGTATATTAATTATTTGATTTAAAAAATATTTTATAACCAATATTTTTAAAATGTTGATCATATTGATTATTATTTTAATTAAGTTCAATTTATTGAAAAATGAAAAGATGAAGAGCTAAATAAAATATGCATATAAAATGCAATAATATCTCCATGTCTCTATACTAGAATTGACTTTATCTACCAGAAATATAATTTCACTTTTTAACTATTTACCAAGTACACCGGTAGTTAAATTTAACTTCAACATATAGAGAGAAATAGTGTGCAGATAGTACTTTTGCAATTTTCGTAACTAGTAGATTTAGTTATGGAAAGTTGAAAGGGTTCAATTTATAATAGAAACGACAAAACAGTTAACATACAGCTATCACGATGATTTGATGTGGAAACATAAACATGTAAGAGGTGTAACATAATATGTAATATTATAATAATATTTTTTACTAATACACTTTTTTAAATCCTGAAATGATTTTTTTTATTTTGCTATTGTTAAAAATTGTAAAGAAGGTGCTTTTTTTTATTTTTATTTATATTAATTAAGTATTAATTTTTATTTAAATCAAGGAATTTATATTATTTATATTCTTTTTACAAAAATATAATTTTTGAAAATACATATTTGTATTGTTATTGTTATTAATAATTACTATTATACTTTGTGTATTTTTTTTTTTTTTTGTAGCAAAATTGATGGGTAACGGTAACTATATTTAAAAAAATTTTATTATTATTTACTCTTTCATTATTTACCTTTACTTAAATATTGAACAACGTTAATTCAATTGCTATTTGATTTTTTTATTTTGCCTCTAAATTTCTAAATATTCATAAAAATAATCAATTAAAAAGGAGTTCCTTCTTCATATTTGTTATAATTTATCCCCGAAAATGGTTGTTACTTGAGTTACTACTTTTTTTGAAAGAACTTAACTCAGGAATAACCCAGGAAAATATAAGTTTTGGTAAAATAAATAATAACCTATGTTTTAGTTTTACACTTATAAGATTCTGTGTAAGTTTCAAAAAAAAAAAAATAAAAAAAAAAATAGAATTAGGATTTAAAGTTTAATTTTTCTCTACTGAAAAATTGAAAAAATTGAGTTACTGCCTTTTTCGTTGCGTATGTCGATATACCTTTTAACGACTAAAGTAAGAATACAAAAATGTTACACAATAACAGATATTATTATATCACATTAAAAATAAAAAAAAATAATAAATTACAATTTGCGTAAAAATAATAAAATTAAAATAAACTTTCAAATTTCATATTTCAATTTTAGATTATTTAAAAAGTATAAGTTTCCATGAATTATACCATTGATTCATAGAATCAAACATTTGCAATTTAATTGTGCGTAAGACTCGGTTTATCAGTGTGCAATATTATCTTAGATGAATTTTACATTTTAGATTTATTAATAACCATACACAGTTATTTAATGACTTATACGATAGTAGGTAGACCATTGAATTTTCAGTAATTGGTATTATGTTTATTATACGTATATTAGTTGTTCACCACTTTTTCTGGGATATATAGTCCTCTTAAATATGTCAAATTTAGCATTGGATTCCTTCACTTCTTCGAGAAAAATATTATTTTATGTTTTTTAAGATTTTGATGTACATTTCAAAAGCATGACCATCATAATGTCATGAAAATAAATGATATCATTCTGTGTGGTTAAATTTGTATTTAATATTATTTTTGTATCATTTAAAGAGAAATAGAGAACTTGTTCTTTGTGGATCCATGAGTAACTATCCTTGAGACCTTAGGAATTCTTGGACCATCAATTAAAAAACTTTAACTCATCTTTATATTACAAATCATGATAGTTTCCGTGAATTTTTTTTTGGTTTTTAACTAATATATTTTTTATTTTCAATTAACCTATTTTCTGGTTATCCTAAAATAAGTACAGTAAATATCGCGCAGTAACTATCTATTCAGGTATTAATTTAAATCAATAATATGCATTTTTAAATACAAAAACACTAGAAATAATATTAATATTTGATCCTACGAACGTTTATATTTCTTTAAAGAAATGAAAAGTTTTGTGAGACATGTATCAGACATTTTATAAAAATACATATAATTTACCCAGTAATTTAACTT